TATTTATATTAATTAAATGATCTAATCAAATTAAATTAATAAGTTAATTAATTCATTAAAATTAAATTAGTTTATTTTTTATAAGTTAATTGTGTAAATACTTTACAAAAGGGACAAAATAAAATTGGAAAAATTAATTAATTAACAGTAATTGAAACATTAATGTAGCATATTTAAATTAGAACTATAAAATAATTAATTACAATTTGGTGTTTTGACCCACTTACCAGGATATTTCCGAGGAGTGTGAAGAAAACTGAAAGTTAATTAAAATCAATTAAAATTACTTGAACTTTACGATTTAATTTGGATGCAATAAATCCCATATTATGTGATTACCCTTTATTGTTTTATGTGGTTACGTGGGAAAATAAACTTAGAGGTAATTACAATTAATTACGTAAAATTTTATGTAATTACTTACTGAGGGCTTGATTAATCCTCGCCATTTTGCTCAATTTTTTTTTGTATAAATTCTCGTCATAGGCCACTGTGTTTGCACACAAGTCCCGTGTCAAATTCAAGCACAGACTACTTGATTCTCATCGTCTTGGTGTTTATATAGCGTTCAACCCCGTCAGGGGGGGATTGTCCCCCCCTGACGAATTTTTTTCACGATGATACGTTTATAATTATAATTTGGCGATGATTTAATGACCCTTCACGGTCATAGAAGACATTACCGGCGGCGAAAAAGTGTGTCAAAAACAAGCGAGGGAAAAATAATGGATGATATAAGAAAAAAATATTGGATCAGTGAAAGTGCTCCGGGAAGAGAATTGAATTTCAAAGATGACAGAAGTGCGCGTATTGTGTGAAGGATGAACACGGGAGGGATTTTTTCCTTTTAAGGCGAGCGTTAAATATCACATGTGGGACTTAATTGGGATGAGTAGAATGGATCACGATGTCATTAACACGTCGGTGGGATTTTTTTTGACTTTTTGGATTTGTATGGACGTTGAGGCAAGACTGTAATTAGTTAATGGACGCTGATGAGAGGCTTAATTGTGCGAATCGATTAAGATTTTTCAGCAAACAAGGGCACAGCATTGACATTGAAAAAATTTTATGTGCAATTCGGGCGAATTCAATTTTTCAATAATTTATTTTGACAAATCTCTGTTTTTCTTCTTTAGCCTGGCTGTCTTTTATTTTATTCCCTCTCTCAAGAATCGTGTCAAGCTTGGGATTTTCAGAATTT